CTCTCTAGATATTTCTGTATTTGTATGACCCAATTGTCATAATAATAATAATTTTTCGCCAATTTATAATTATTGAAAATATCATCACGTATTGCTTTATAAACAACTTCGTTTTGATCACCGAATGTCACAATTATGGTTTTCCAAAAATGTTCATCTTCTAATATTTGGTGTAAGTAAATACTTTTAAGGGAAACCCAATTTATTTCTGTTTTATTTTCTAATAAGATATCATTTTTTGCTTGTCGATCATTTATTAATTTAATGATATTTTGTATTTCTGTCGTCTCATTGTTATATTGAACTATTGTATTATATTGATTATTTTGTCTACAATACCTATCAATATACCATTGTAAAGTCTCTCTAATCAAATTATTCATAGTTTTAATAAATGCTTTATGATTTTCATTAGTTTCATTTCGGAACATTGATCTGTATATTATATACATGTGAGCATACCAGAATGGTTTTTCATATATAGTTTTATTTATTTTGAAAAGGGAAACTAGCATGCGTCCAGTTATTGATTCTTCTAAATTATTATCATTTAAATTGTTACATATCGACAAATAATTTCTAATGACGAACATATTACCACATATCAAGTCACAGTATATTAGATCAATCGGTTTTTTTATAGTTTCCTCTTGTGGTAAAATATTAATGTTTAGTAATTTCTTTATAGTAGCAATGTCAAGTTTATTTAATTCTTCATGCTCAGGATAAATAAATCCAGTGTCCAGAGTAAGAGCAGTTTCAAATTTGTAATCATACCTAGGAACACTTTTAATACAACATGTATTAACTTGCATTGAACGGAAAATGACCATTACTGTAATGATAAATAAAATCGGATTCAAAATCATTATTCACTGCTTAGGTTTGCACTTTTAAACAAAAGATTATGCATAAAAAATTAATACTTGATTTAACAAATTGTGGATAGCTTTTTATAGGTTTTTTTTTTATTAAAAATAGTTAGGAAAATACTAATTTTTTTAAATAGATCAAGCTGAATGAATATTTGTAAGTAACTGTTTTAATGGATTTACATATAATACTTAATCTATATTAAAACTGAACATGTATACAGGATGATTCATTAAAAATAAGACAGTTTTTTTCTCGGAAACTATTGAACATTTTTTATTTTGTAAAGGAAAATATTGTTTGTTTCAACAAATTTGTTTTTCATCCTTTCAAGAATTATATGCTTAAAGAGACGATTGGTTGATTAGAAAAAAATTATAAAAAAAATTGTTTGTTATTTTTTTTCTATCATAATATCAAGTTAAATTATTGTTTCTGATTTAAGAAAGTTAATATTAAGATTCATTTAACCTTTAAGAATTGAAAGAATAATATTTTAACTACATATTATTGTATAGTTTTATGAATAAAACAATATTTTCCTTTACAAAAGTTTGAAATAGCCTTTTTGAAAACTAGAAAAAAAAAAAGTTAAATTAGACAAAATTTAAAATGCAGTGAAACAATGTAAAAATATTTTTTTTAAATATTAGATTTTCACTTAAAAGTATCATTAATGGGTGGCTTACTTTATCAAGTATTCCATGTTATAATTATTTTAGCTAATACTCTTATTGTACCTATTGGGTACAGATTGTGTATATATTAATAAAGGAAAAAAAAACAAAAGTATAAAATGTTCAATAGTTCAAAGTAAATGTCTTATCCTTAATGAATTACTCTGTATATATATTTTGATTGTTTTTATTGCATAGTGTTATTATAGCTCAACAAATATATTTTATTTGATAATATAGAGATAATAAGTACAAGATTAA